GCGACAATTTTTCAAAAATGTTTAGATAGATTATATGCATAAATCATTGACTGAATAGTTGAAATCATATTCATTTTTCCTGATCTGTTCAATGAAGAAGACAACATAAGTGTTTTACAGTGTGAATTGTTGTATTTGATGATCTAAACGTTTGTTTCCAAAATGGCAGGAAATAAAATTATAAGATGAACAACGTCTTTTTTCAAAAGTCATATTTTTCTCAATGCAAAGTACAATCAATTCCCTAGAGACTGGGCGCTGAAGTATCATGCACCGAACAGCTGTGAAACATTATCTCCAGTTCTGTAGGGCAATGTCATCATTTTACTGAAATGATCACTTATATTCCGTGGCATTGTAAATAAGTCCAGTGCCACGGAATGATCACATGCAGGGGTTGATGATAGCAAGGACACTTTTCATAGCGGTGCCTTTGTAGAATGTTTCTCTAAATTCTCTTTAATGGATCCCCAAGATATTCAAAATTATACTATCAGATAATTCTGTCTGCATGATCAGAATAGAAAAACAAGAAGATTTGTTTCTTAACATCTGGCCTATCAAGCTTTTACATGGATTATTGTGTCCTGGCATATAAAGTCCCCAATCATCTTACTTCCATACAGAAATGATGTTAGCTGGAGATAGGAAAATACTAAAAAGGAATTATTTTAATATTGTTTGAAATCTTTCAACTGTAGACCAATACTGGAAATTATAAACTGTAAAAATAATAAGAAATAAAGTTTAGGTTGAGATGTTTCATGCTTGGGTAATCTGATTATATTATCTGATTATATTGGTCGCTTGAAGGTGAAATGCTAATATAGATCTTCCACCATAGTAATATCCATTCTTGATCACAATGCTGTATACAGGGTGTTTCCATATGTATGCACCTCCCATAAACTCATACATGTAGCATCTCAACCCTATCATGTAAATATATCATTCTGTTCTTCATGGAAGTTACACAAGATTGCAAAGTTTCACAATCCAGGTCTGTCCCTGAAAAAAGATACAATGTATCAAAGATTGCGGGTATGGGGTCATTAAGAGGGTAATTTCTGGTCATTTTTAGACTCAGTCTGGTGCTCTGTTCACTTTGTCTCATACCCATTTTAGTGATAGAGGTTGCACCAGGGTCCCTGGCCTCTCCATAAGCCACTGCATGAATCCTATCTATACATCTTTCTGCATAAGTGTCACACTCATGTGCACTGAACTCTGACATGATGACAACTCCTAGAAATGTGCAAAACAGAAACTAAATTTTATAAAATATATAAAATACTGTACACATAAAAATATAAATATGGAACAATTTTTGACATAGATAAATGGTGTTATTCTACACTTAGTGTACTAAATGTATAATAACATTAAAAAATAAATTTGATATTTATTGGTAAAATGAATAACCGGAGGATATCGCAACAATATACTCCGGGCGGAGGATATTGTGACGACATACTCTGGAAAACCCAATATGCGGAGGATATTGTGACAATATACTCCGCTTGTTGGTTTCCCGCCAAATTGACTCTATTTGGCATGAAATTCATTTTGCAATGATATTATACATTTAGTACACTCCTTGTAAGTGTAGGATAATAAGAACATCCTATGATCTTTTTCAGAATTTCATTTTAATCTACTCGGTGATATTGATATATGCACTCGTTCACTTTGCTCTCTCATGCAGATATCAATATCACCTCGTAGATAAAAATGATATTCCTCAAAATCATAGGATATCCTATAATTATCATTGTTATCTCTTAATCTGTTATCTGATGTCAGAATTAACTGCTGATTTGAAGTTCTATCAAGAAACATTTTCTTTTCTAATAGTAATGATTCTTTTCCTCATCTGTTCAAATTAATCATGACACTCAAGGAGAAGTTGCTGTTGAAACCATGTGACTGTAATGCCTGTGCCCTGGTGCTGTTTTGTCATTATTAAACAATAATAGTCTTCTCATTTATTTTATTCACTGTTGCTATACATTTTCCTGATATATAACAGGTAAACCTGATACATGTATATGGAATTTCAATATTTTGAATCATGTTATTTCTGTAAAGCAGTCTATCTTAGAAACCATTTGATATTTCAATCAAATTATTACTCAATATATATGTAGGTAGAATAGGAGGATTTTAAAATGTGTTAATTTCAACAAGTTTTTAAAATGTGTTAATTTCAATAATTTTTTAAAATGTGTTAATTTCAACAAGTTTTTAAATGTGTTAATTTCAACAAGTTTTGAAATGTGTTAATTTCAACAAGTAGCTATACTGCAATTAAGTGTATAAGGAATTATCCCCTTAATGTGCACTAACCATACTATACTTCCTGTATAGGCCTCATTGTTTCTTTTGTGTGAGGGGATGTGAGTCTCGTTAGTGAAATCTCTTTTATCATTTATCATTCTGAGCAAAAAGGTTTAACAGACATATTAGCTATTAGCTATAATTCTTGATGCTTTACAATAATGAAAATGGAACTAAGCTTACCAATTATGCATAAATACAGTAATTTAAATATATTAAGTTAGTTAGTTAGTAAAATATTTATTAAAGTCTCACACTGTAAACAATATACATACTAAAATAGCAATAATTAACAGTCCCGCCGGCTTCGGCGTATGAGAGACTCAAGAAAGCATCACAATCACAATGGTTGTATTTTACCTATACTACATGTATTAGCAAAATCACGTGCTTTTGAGGGGTGCACTATGGCAATTGCTTTTTTGAGAAAATTGAATTCATTTTTTAATCTACAGTGATCTCCCCAGCATTCAACCAAGTGGGCACAGCAGCAACCTGAGATTTTGATAAAAGGCTTGCACCCACCTGAGAATCCATTTACACCCACTTGAAAATGAGAAAAATCATGAAAAATTGGCATATTTTGACCAATTTTCGTCTGAATTGTGGAAATGAGAAATTTGCACTGAACTGATTTCATGATATATGAGCATTGTCTTTATTTTTTCGTTCAGAAGCTATTAGTTCATAAGCAATTTTGGGAAGCGTTGTTTAGTTTTATAATCCATCACAATGCGCTCCAAAAAATGTGAAATTCTGAAAATTTCAGTCTGTTTTTGATGTCAGTTCAAATGCACTATGTACATGTAGGAAGGCAATATCATTTTGCTGTTCTCTACACTTTATAGAAATAATCAGTATTTCTGGGGAGTAATGATTCCAACTTGTTCATGGATATACAAGCAAGGTTCTTGTGAGGCATCTCAGGACTTTGGGGAATTTCCCTCTTAACAACTGGTTCTCATTTGGAGTTCTCATGTTCAGATTGTGCCTTGTAGTATTAATGAGCTAATTATCATATTATATATTTATTTCTTTGCACTACCAAACTAATTGATTGGCCCTGTTATTGCATTGAAAGTATTCCCAGCGTATAATGTATCTCATTATTCTCCTATCTTTGAGAAACACCAGCTGTATTTTCAACTATCTCAGTCCATATCATGGTATTTCTTATATAGCAAGTATTCTCTGAATCTTGAGGGATATCATTTTTTTAATTATATCATCACTAGAAGTGGTGGCATATTTTATAGGTGGTTGGTGTTCGGCAGTTGGCACCTGTAACAAATGGCAGGTGGTGACATTTTGCATGTTAATGCCTTGTTATCCATTAGGTGATACCAGTATGGACCAATTTGCTGCACTTGCTTATACAGGGCGTATCAAAAAAAACGCAACAAGTAGTTATCTCGTAAAATTCCAAAACTAGTGATGACTTCTTGAATTTCGTTTGATGTACCATAAAGCCATGTCTCTCCTCTTTGCAATGATATGTCATTCATTCACATGTGGTAATGGTTTGGTGAGAAATCCTTCCATTTGCACAGTGGGTCAAAATCGACTCTGGGCCAAGTTTTAGATATTGCAAAAATCAACGCAAGGGCTAAGTGCCAATGGAAGTTCCACTGACTTCAATTGTTGTGACTTTTTCTTTTGGAGCTATCTCAGGAGCATCTGTGCTCACAATTCCTCCACCAGATATTGCAAAACCTCGAGAAAGAATTGCTCATGGGCTGCTTTTCTCTGCTTTAACCCACAGATGACTCAGGGCTGAACCATGCATGACGTGGACAGATGAGCGCATCTTTATGTGCAAGGAAGTGGTGGCAATTTGGAGGGGTATAGGTTGTATTCTTGCAAGAGTATGAGTATGAACACTTAACTGTCTATGCCACATCTGTCATACCTTCTTCCAATAGCCCCTATGCCCCTTGTACTGACTTTTGCAATGTTTAAAACTTGGGTCCGAGCTGAATTTTGCCCCACTTTGCAAAATTAATGATTATTCGGCCAGCCATGACTCTCTGGGAATGAATGATATTCCATTGCAAAGAGGAGTAATTTGGCTTTTTGGTACATTGAATGAAAAGGATGCAGTCAGCATTGGTTTTATGTTTTCTTCCAATTTTGCATCGGGCTCCGTACACTGACTTTTGCGATGTTTATAACTTGGTCAAAAGCTAATTTTGGCTTACTTGGCAAATGGAATGATTACTCGCCCAACCATGACCAAATATCAATGAATGATATATCATTGTAAAGAGGAGACACATGGCCTTATGGTGCATTGAATGAAATCAATGCTGTTATCACTCGTTTTGTGCTTTTCCGAGATAACAATCTGTTGCGGTTTTTTTTGATACGCACTGTAGAAAGATAAATGTCAGCAAGTGAATTAAATTACATCACAAAAAATAATTTTTCACCTGGCATTCAAAACGATCTAGAACCTTTTGTGGTTCATCTTTCTGCAAGAACATGGTAACATTTCAACATGATTTATTTAAAGTGCAATGATATTTTCAGGGCTCAAAGCAGTGATTTATTATTTATTAACATGAAATAAATTCCATTTGGGGAAGGAGAGGGTCATTCTGAAAGCAATTAATTTTGCTTAATAACCATATTTCTAATCATTTAATCTTGTTATTGTTCTTCAGGAACATTCTGCACAATGGACATTTCAATTAGGAGACTTGCGGACACTGGCCTCACTGATATCCCAACTACCGTACGTAAAATTAGATCGCAGCGGGCCCACTCCATACAGATGCCTGACCAATACGTCTTCTGCCATCTTGCCCTTCTAGAGCATGCCCAGAGTATTGGACTTGTCCCAGAACTGAACCTTACAGGATTTGAAGACAGCAGCAGTGAAGACGATTAATCTATGATAACCATATAAGGCAATGTACATGTTATTCCATTACCATAAAAGGCAATGTGCATGCCATTCCATCACTGGGTGGTCCATGAGAGTACCATTTTACATAATCCTCCTGGACTGAGATTATTAGAGAAGAAACTTGTCTACCATATATTTTGATAGTGATATTCATTTCACCCTGTTTCCTCATGAAAGAGAGATTCTAATGGTATATATGTAAATGGTATGGTCCACCCGAACGATTATGACAGTTTTAGATTAAAGATTCAGCATTGTCTCAATTCCAGAATCCTTTATGACTACAAATGCCTAGTACATGTAGTAGTAGGCTAGATACGACTGATTAAAAGTGCTCATTTAAAACATTTTGCACCAATTCTACACATGATCCATTTTGTTAACTACAAGACATCAACTTTTTGAATGAAACACATCTCTGAAGTGTAAATCTTTGAAAAAGTTTACTGAATTTAGCACCTATAAGACAGTGCCTAAAAGGATCATTTTGTTGTATTAAATGCATCTGTGGTAATTGTAAACTGTGAGTTTATTATCTGCAATGTGTACATGTGGATTAAGTGTAATATCTGAATCATAATTATAAACACACTCTGTAATGCCAGTTCACTTATATTTTTGCAATTCCAGATATTGATAATCATATTGATTTGAAAATAACTACAATTTTTTGCTGTCATTTTCAATTTGGCCAATTTTATTTTAATTTAATCCCATGGTGATGTGAAATCATCCTGATTTTAATGGATATGTGCTGAATCAAAGCATCGTTGCAGTCTTTTTTATTTTAATTATTAAAAAAAATTCTGTTACTCTACTTAATTTGGTAAATTTGACTCTGAAAATTGGTGAAGATTTCACATGGCGAATATCCTTTTCACTAGAATTGTCATTATGTTTGAAAAGACACCATTTACCTCTCCTTGGCAACGTTAGAATTGACACAATCTGATGAAGAAATTGTTCAAATTAAAACATTGAGCAGGATCACTTAATGCACCTGCGCAAAACACATGTGTACAAGACAAAGACAGATGAAGACATGAATTGGTGAATATTTGCAAGTCACCAAATCCGCCAAATTGAAATGGGTGCCAAATAAAGTATGTGTAACAGTGTGTTATACATTACTGGATATATACAGTATATATACCTTCATCTGGATTATATTTTGTCCTCACAATAGACTCAATAATAATATTTAAGTGAATGTGATCAGATATCATCCATGTACTTGAAATCTGAATCCAAAATTATATCTAGATATATATTTCTTTTAATTTTGTTGTCAGCAAGAATTGCAATTCTACATAGTCGCACAGTTCTATCCATTTAAATGCATATTACTTTATTTGTATACTGTAGCTGTCTAATACTGGCATAATCCAGTCAATGATCTGGTTTCATAATTGTTCTGAGAAAGGCTTTGGTAAAGACTCTACTATAATTAATGGATAAATGATATTCTGTTTCAATTTTGAGGAGACTCAGATTTGCTTCAATATTCTAAAAGTTGGAAAATAAATTCAGATCACATTTGAATTTCATGGGGCAGAGACAATCAAAATGGTATAATTATCCCATCGACCGAAGTTCGGAGGGATATAGGGAATGCCTCAGTCCATCCGTCTGTCCGTTCGTCCGTTTTTTCCAAAATCCTGAGTTTTTTATAAATGCGGTAGTTTTGCCGGAAGATTTTTGAAAAAAAAACGGTAGTTTTTACTGAAGATTTGAAAAAAATGGAGTATTTGCGGCAGATTTTGGAAAAACAGGAGTTTTTACATGAAATAAAACGGTAGTTTTTGCGGAAGATTTTTTTTTAAAAATTCTGGAAAAAGTAGAAGTTTTTGTGGTAAATTTTATAAAAAATTATAGTTTTTGCTGTAGATTTTTGAAAAAACTGTAGTTTTTGTGGGAGATCTTTGAAAAAACTGTAGTTTGTGCGTGAGATTTTTGAAAAAATGGGAGTTTTGCGGGAGATTTTTTAAAAAATGGGACTTTTTGTGTTAGACTTTGAAAAAAAGGGAGTTTTGCGGGAGATTTTTGAAAAAATGGAGTTTTTGCGGTAGACTTTAAAAAAACTGGAATTTTTGTGAGAGATTATGAAAAAACAGTAGTTCAGTAGAAGATCTCTGAAAAACAGTATTTTCTGAGTTTTGATGCTTAATATTTTGATTCTTACGATATAAAAGGTATATGTAAATCATGTAAACTATAGGCTCTAAAAAGTAGTTCTTATCATTTCCATTCTGTTTTGAACAATGTCGCCGGTTTATAGGTGAGTCTGTAACATTGAGAATCAGGTTTAGTTAAATGTAATCGGAAATAAAACAATATGATAAAAACTATTGAGTAATAAGGCTGATGATTATAATGCTTATTTTCATGAAAGTTGGCCCAGAGCAAGTATTATGAGGGTTTGTTTGTTCAATTTTTACATTACAAAAGATTTATACATTTTCCTGGCGGCAAAATTGAAAGTTAAAGAAAGAAGTGTGACTCCGATAAGAAAGGTCACAGACCTGTCAGATTGCTTTGAACAATACGGTAGATTTAAGCAAAAATAGGGAGATATCAGTAATACTGGAGATTTTAGCAAAAATACGGGAGATTTTATGAAAAATATTTACGGGAGATTTTAGTAAAAATATGGTACGGTAGTGTTTACAGGAGAAAACGGTACGGGAGTTTTCTTATTTTTTAAGGAAAAACAAAAATTTCATGGGAGATTCCCGTAAAAAAGACGGGAGGTTGGCAGGTCTGATTTGATTAACAGAAGAGTTTGTGTCATACATTTGGTAAGTGGATGAAATAATAATACGCCATCTGTCATATTCATTTCCCAAGGATGTGTTTGCATTAACAATGTGACAAGTCTGTCCTATAATGCCCTAGGTCAGGTTATATCACTTACAATGTAAACATTGTTTTCAAATGAATTTAGATATTCTTTAACCAAGACGACTACATTTAACAATCCTCTGTATTAGTTTTCACTTTAATTAGAAGAAAACAAATTCTTTAGTTTATAATCTTTTCTGCTAATAATTAGAGAGCTTTCGCAAGGAAGTTATAGCGTGTTTTTAAATCCCTTATGTTTATAAGTTGTAAAGTATGTGTACTATGTCATCACTTGTCACGCAGTTCTATCCATTTAAATGGAGCCATCGCTTATAAAACATTGTTTATAAGTGAGCAAATACTAATCTCATCTAGACATAGTTATTGGATGAGAATCATCAAGATATTTGATATGAAGTCATATTACTATCCAATCAACCTCATAAACAAGGAATTTGGAGGAGAAAATAATTCATTCTTGGTGAAAAGAACATCAGAAATTATCGATGAAAATGCATTTTTTTATCTGTGTAAGACCAACTTTTTGTGAAATGCCAAATTTCATTTCACTTATACTTATAATGTATAGCTATATGCATAAACATAGGTTATACTTTAACTTATGAGTGAAATCTCTCTATTATTAGAATGCTGGTTTTTCTCATTTAATTGTCATGGATTCCCTTATTTTGAGGTTTCCCTTTTCTTTCTTATCTTCCTCTGTGACAAAGGTGATTGAAAACATATTCAGATTTGCAGGACTTGATGGTTAGCCTCTTACCCCTTCCCAGTTTAAAGTCATCTTCCTTTTTGCTTTCTATTTCCTTCCTCATTTGTACTCTGCCCAACATCTTGTTGTCATCTTCCTTTTTGCTTTCTATTTCCTTCCTCATTTGTACTCTGCCCAACATCTTGTTGTCATCTTCCTTTTTGCCACATGCTTTCTATTTCCTTCCTCATTTGTACTCTGTCCAACATCTTGTTGTCATCTTCCTTTTTGCTTTCTATTTCCTTCCTCATTTGTACTCTGCCCAACATCTTGTTGTCATCTTCCTTTTTGCTTTCTATTTCCTTCCTCATTTGTACTCTGCCCAACATCTTGTTGTCATCTTCCTTTTTGCCACATGCTTTCTATTTCCTTCCTCATCTGCATTCTGTCTAACATCTTATTCTGATCCTCTTTATTTCCTCACTTGTACTCTGTCTAACATCTTAATGTCATCTTCTTTTTGCCACATGCCTTCTATTTCCTTCCTCATTTGCACTCTGTCCAACATCTTGTTGTTATCTTCCTTTTTGCCACATGCTTTCTATTTCCTTCCTCATTTGTACTCTGTCCAACATCTTGTTGTCATCTTCCTTTTTTTGCCACATGCCTTCTATTTCCTTCCTCATCTGCACTCTGTCTAACAGCTTATTCTGATCTTCTTTATTTCCTCATTTGTACTCTGTCTAACATCTTGCTGCACTTATTCTCTTCTATATAGTTAGGGCTGACATTCCAACCATCCTTCTGCTACTCTTCCAAGCATTGCCTTTTGTATCGGATGAGACTTTGCTTTTGCCAGTTCATGCAGAGATGATGCTATATCTTTCAAGTCCTGGTCACTGATACTGAATATGTGCCTGTGTACAATTTCTCATTTCCTAAAACAAATCTATTTTTATTATTACTCTGTTGGTTTGAATTTCATTCCAATCCTCCCTGCTTTTTCTTCAAAGATCTTTACTAACCATCTGGCTCTATCTACTCCTTTGTTATATTTTGTGTTGTATCTCTGTGCAGACAGCTTTCAAAATGGGGAGTGCAAGGGGTTCTTGGCCTTTTTCCCTGCAATCTGGTGGCAGTAAGTTTGGAGTAAATAATTAAACTTTAGAAATGAGGGATGGAATTGCACCTCCTCCCCCCCCCCTCTGATGGGGGCAAGCTGTGTGTAAGTTCAGTAAAATGAAAAATAAATGCGTACATGCATTTATTTCATTGAAAGATATTTTAGTATGATCTATTATCAAATATTCTATGAATTGCAAAACCATATATTGCTTGTTTGGATTTGTGACTATACTGTGACATGTAGTCATTAGTAAGGATATAATTAACAGATTGAGTTCCTGCCCAAAGTAATTAGATCCTTGTTGCATTTCTTGATTAATGTCAACCGAATAAGAAATTGATATATAATACAAAGGTTAAAATGACTTTCTGAAATAGTGCAAGTGCAAGGGCATTAGTTTTACTGAATTTATGTACATGTATAAGAAAACGTGCGATAAGCACTTATTCTCTTGTGCTTGAAGTAGATGCTGAGTGACATGAGGCATCTTATTTTATAACGAATGACACCCTGATCCTGAATGTCAATAAAATGCACCTAAAGAGGTTTATTTGAGGTTTGTTTGAAATTTATCATTCTTATGTTACTCAAAGAGATCTTCAAGGTCAACTTGTGCTTATGCTTATAAAGACATGAACAAAAAGGTATCTTGCATCATTTTTACTCAACATGAGATGTTTTCATTCTTTCATCTCTATGGTTGTATTAACTTCAAGTCAAAATCATCAAGGAAATAACTTAAGGTGTTTATTAGATGAGTATGTGTGGCCGATAGATCACTTGGGTACACTAATGGAATATTGATGTTGTTGTAATCCTGCTATCTCATTTCTTATATTCTTTAAACAATTCAGATGCTTCTAACGTGTTAAGTATTATGAAATATAAATGAATATTGATTGAATACTCATGTATTTCTTCAAAATGCTTTTTGGCTTGGTTGCTTTTATTAGTCCCTTGTAACATTAAAATCAACTTGGACCTTTTAAAGATTATTTTTACACTTTTAAATAAAGTCCCTCTGGGAGTCTGTCTTATCTGTAAAAGATGGGTTTTCAAATTTTTATCAAAGATGAGTGGCCCTTGATTACATTTCTGACTGCATAAAACCAGAGTTCACATGAGGAAATCCATTTGTCATTTCCCATGTGATTCCCCTAAAAGTCTCCAAGCCTTTGTTGGATGTTTGTGTATAATATATTATTTTGTATAAATTAATACCATTTCCTTTCACGTATATTCTATGTATGTTTGGAGACAAATAAAATGCCAACACATTGTCAACGTATGTGAGTTATATGAATAGTTGCAATATGAATGAGGACATTACTGAAGAAATTGATACGTGGCAATACATTTGATTAAACTTTTGAAGTATATGACCTGCTGTATGAAGTCAGAATGATAAGGAACATGTTAACATTTCTGTGTTCTTATACAGTTATAGGGAGTGTAAAATGTTGGAAGGATTTTTTCAAAAAACAAGCATATTATGATTGAAGATTTAAGATGCGCAGAAATGTCTAAATTCACAACATTGCAATGTTGGATCTCACAATTATGGCCAAATAACTTCAAAATCAAAGCATCATAATTGTGAAATAGATTTTGTGTTTAATTTAGTCCAGTGTAAATTGCAGTATGTAAAAATGCTACATCTAACATTTCAATGTGCTGTGACTTGATTGTACATTTGACTGAATAGATTTGAATTTAAAGATAAGTGTATATACAGTATACATCATATATGATATATTTCAAAAGTACAAATGATGGTTTGTATATTATAGAGCATAGTGTATCTATACAGTATAGTAACATTTTTATAAGGTAAAAATGGTTTCATCAGTAAGTTGTTAATAGTGCTAATTGAACTTATCCTGTACTAGTAATTAATTAGAGACATACATATTAACACATGATGTAATTGCAAAATTGTAAAATTGTAGTTTTATTTTATTTTTTAATTTGGTAGACACAATATGAGATCATGTAATTTTTGT